GAATGTTAATCTACATCTGCACAGTTCAAGTTAATAAATAATAATCAAGAATGATTGAGCATCCCGTTTGGCTTTTCATATACAAGTCGTTCCTAAAGTCATGCGTAACTTTACAAACTCTTTATGAAACACCCCCCTGATTAGATGTAAATACATTGTGGCTATACAGAACTGTACTCAGAACCGAAGAGCATACACTTACCATTGATTTGGGGGGATCTGGACTGGTAGAAGGCATCAGGCTGTCAGCATCCATTAGACCAAGACGTTTGGACAGGTTAGCATCAATACCAAAGTCCTGAGAGACAGGGTCAAAAAAGGACACAAAAGCTTGCAATGCCTGTACAGTGAAACCTGTACAGCTACATAAAGACCACTCAAGGGTGACAAGAAAAGTGGTCTTTATTGGCAGAGTTTTTTTATGAACAGGTTCCTTTAGTACAAGTTTGTGTGAGAAATAATTGTCAAGGGAGATATTAAAGGTAAAGACCAGTTATGGTCATGCGATTGCATTGTGAAAGAAACGTTGTGGAATCGATCAGAAAAGGTTGATCATCTAGCATCTAGCATCTGCAAGGTTCTGGAATCATCAAAATGATAAGAAATTTGGCCCATTCTTCTTTAAGTTACAAGCACTATACACAGAAAGATGTATCTACCCTATATCTCTCACAGACCATGAGAGAAACAAATTTACCAAATATATGAATTAGTAGGCGGTTTCCCAGCAAATTTTTTATCATCATGTATTAGTCAAAACATATTCTTTCACATGATTGGTAATGAGAGCTTCCATTTCATTTTTTGAAATTGGGGCATTTCCAATACTGGTCTTTACCTTTAAAATGTGGTCTTTATATAAAGGTGGTTGCTTAAGCAGGTTTCACTGTACTTATCTATCAGTGAGATATGTGCACAGGCTCAACAATAGCAAATACATATATAGAAAGAATGAAGATAGTAACAACAATGAGTCTTGCTACATAATCTTGATAATCTTCATAAATGAATCAGACACGACTGCATTTAACCAATCTGATACCTGCCAATCTTTCAAAGCAAAATTAGGAATATCTCAAGGAGAAAAAGAGAGAAATTTAGAGTTCAAAACAGGAGCTTAAAGAGGAGGTTGAGTTCTGGGGAGAGGTGAAAAATAATTTGTGAGCGTTATCATTGTTATTATGAAAGTGTGGAAGAACATCAGATATGTTCCCTGAAAGGCATGGCTCTTCAAATGCTTTCATATTCAAAATATGGCATGTAAAAACATAAAAATCAGGACAGATTTTTACGCCACATGTTAGTGTAGTCCAAGACTGGGCCAAATTTCTTATCATTTTGATGATTCCAGAACCTTGCAGTACACACCAATACTTATATGCTAGATGATCAACCTTTTCTCATCAATTTCCACACTGTTTCTTAAACAATGCAATCGCATGACCAGAACTCAACTTTATCTTTAAAGACCAACAATTAGGAATGGTTGGCAGCTAGGCAATACTTTGACTATGAGCTATGAGTGAGTAGAATTAAAAGGGATAATTCTTACCACATTGACATCATCTTCATCACTGTCATCATCGGAGGGCTGCAGATGCTTCAATGCTGGCTCACTTGCTTCCGATTCCTAGCAACAAAACAAACAGCCAATTGATATATTGATATGTAATTAAAAAAAAAAACACAAGCACCACATTAATGCTATAAAACAAGAGCACCCCAAAATCAGCATCAATTTTCCTGGGACTAAGGGAATTCTTCTCATCAAAAGATATGTATGCAATTGAGTACATGTAAGTACTTGTCACATAAAATGACTGTGACATATTGAATCTGACAGTTTTTTGTTGTTGCACTAAACCTTTTAAAAATAGTCCACATTATCAGTTTATGTTTTAAAGCAAAATTGTACTTGACCCGCTTTTTTAAAAGGTTTACACCTGTAATACAAAGTTTTGGGAAATTTTGAAAATTGGGTGGACAGTGATTCTTTACAATTTTGATATATTTGGATGCACCTGTGGATGTATTATAAGCACTAGAAAATTTAGCCTCTAAAACACTTCTGCTTTCGAGAAAAATTTAATATAAAAAACGGTGCTCCCGGTAAATTTTGATAAATTTCAAATAGTGCCTACGGCCGTACAATGGTAGCTGCAACCATGACAATCTCAGAATATGTAGTTGTGATGTATAATATCCCAACGGGAATAGCTAATCGGTCAATTTTAGTCAAAAAACATAGTTTTATAGCTTAATTAATATCTTGACCTTGAGAGGGAGCTATACAACACAAAGAGTTTATAATTTACAATTTATAACTTTAGACTCGATTTCAACCGCGACAACGATCGCTGAATATTGTAGGATCGCATATGCTTCCAATTTGTTCATTTGAACCGAATTCATGACCCCATACCAAAACTTTGTATTACCTTTAAGGCAATAAAACAGATGAGAAAGAATAACATGAACTCCCCAACATTGATATGTAATTTTAATTACTCAAGGACCCCACACTAAGCTTGCCTGCACCCTGCAGGGAGTCCAAAGTGAGTGTTTTATGATCTGTGTTCATGAACCATATGTTACAAATTCTGAAATTTTAAGAGTCGTCTTAGTCGCGATTGAATCAAATCTTTCACATGTCCTCCAATCATTTGCTAGTTTACAGTCTCCTATCTCTCATGTAGAGGTGTTGTGGTCGAGTGGATATGTCACCGGACTGTCGATCACAAGGTCCGCTGTTCGAGTCCCGCTTCGGCACTATGTCCTTTGGCAAGACATTGAACTACATTTGCCACACTCAACCCAGGTGATGTAAATGGGTACCTGGCAGGAAGTAATTCCTTGAAATGCTAGAGCGCCGTATGGCAGCCGAGCTAAAGCCAGGGTAATAATTGGGAGCGCCAGGAGTGTCATGTATGACAGACATGAGCGCTATACAAGAAACCACTATTATTATTATTATGTACATGTACATAGTTGCAATTGATATCAATTGCAAGTTTACAGTCTCCTATCTCTCATTTACATAGTTGCGATTAATATCATCTCTTTATTAGACAGGCCCAGATTAAGATTTCAGGCACCTAGGCACCTGTGTATCATATTGTCGAGCCCTGTTAACGTATTTTACTTTAACGGCTCTATATACAGCAATAAAAAAGAGGAGACAGACATAGAAAGAAAACAAATTAGGTCATTCCTACCTCATAACCAAGCTGACCAATATCTTGAAGGTCAAGAGAGAGATTTAGTCTTGGCGTCGGCTCCTGTTTGACAAAGCAACATAAATAAATGTGATAATAACTGTAGATATGTAGACAAGTGGGGGAAATTTCTCATGAATAATGCATGAATTTTATTTTGTTTTTTAGTCAAACTTTCCTCCACTGAACATACACATGTACGGATAAGCAGTTACTGTATACGATTATACCTTTCTAGCTTAAAAAATACACACTTGCCTTACTTTCACAGCAAAAATTAGGAATACAGTTTCTTTTGTATACTTTTTACAATGTTTTTTTGAAAAGACGAAACTAAATTTCAAGGCCTGAAAATAGGAATCATTCCACCAACTTAAGAATGCTGTGATGAAAATATCTTCAATTTTCAAACGGTTAAATGACATACATGTAGTGTATCCTGAAAATTGTGTAATTTTCAACTTATTCAAACCAATGGTGCCTGTCATATGTTAAAGTTCAACTCATATATGGAGCATACAAATATAATAATAATAATAATAATGGTGGCTTCTTATATAGCGTACATGTCCGTCACATTGTGACGCTCCTGGCGCTGCCCCGATTATTACAAAAAATGTAATTCCTAACTTCAACTTCAGACCAAAAAACTATATTCCATCTTACATTAGAAAAAAAAAAACTTTATTGCAACACTAACTCTAACTCTACACTTTTGACAAAATAAAGGCTGAAATAAATGTCTCAAACATAAATGAACCAGGGCCCTGTGGCTATTCCATGAAATTTGTTATCAATAACAAGTTACAATAACTGTCACAAGCTACTGAAACTGTGGCATTTGATAGGCCGAGAGCAACTTTGTCATAGAAATTCAGCATTTGTTCTTGGTAACAAGTTGCAATACCGGTAACTGTCATATGAAATCGTGGCATTTGAGTGGCCGAGAGCATATTCGTCATAGAAATTCAGTATTTTTTATCGGTAACAAGTTTTTGTGAAAGAGGGCCCTGAAAATATTCATATTAACTTACATCTTCTGAGAAGTCTGGTAACATCTGTATGTTCTCTTCCCTGTTACCGGCTATAGACAATGGCTTGCTATCCAATGACTTCTTGAGAAATCCTTTGTCTTTCATCTGAAAAAAAAAAAAAAAATGATACACATGTACTTTCAATCAAACACATATTTGCATTCTCCGAATCAAAATAAAAAGTCTTCAAATACAGAACCATGAATTCTTGTGAGAAGTATTGAAATGTCAAACAGCTATTTTTGTAGTGTAAATCAACAGGGATGGGACACTTTTGATAGTAATAGTTTTTTCACAACAATCATTCCACAATTTATGGTTTGGCTCAATAACTTTTTATTCAGAGCCCTACAAAATATACCAGATACAGGAGAAGAAAGGGAAATATTTCTCCACACACTGCATCCATTTAATATGTTCCATGAATATATGAAGTTCTAAAATCCTTGAATTGGCAACGCGTAAAGATGCGCAATTTTAAAGACATTTTGACAAAATTCTAGCATATCGTCCTTGTTTTCACAAAGTGACGGTAGTGAGGAAAATCGTCACGCAAAGTGAATGCAATTTTTTTTCACTACCGTCACTTCGTGAAAACAGCGACGATATTAATATCGTTTTCAGAGACATTGCATTTTATTCTATAATTGTAGCAATAAAAGAGAAAATATCATTGTCGTCAATTTGAAGAAGAATATGTGATCCATTGAGCCATAGAAATATAATCCTGTCCTGAAAGGGTTTACTGGATTGTCCCTATCCCTAGAGTACTAAGATGACCTGTGTCTTTCAGACTTACCCCTGCTGTAGAACCTAGTGTGCTTCCTGGATCTTGGAGTGTCCCTATCCCTAGTGTACTAAGATGACCTGTGCCTTTCAGACTTACCCTGCTGTAGAACCTAGTGTGCTTCCTGGATCTTGGACTGTCCCTATCCCTAGAGTACTAAGATGACCTGTGCCTTTCCCACTTACCCCTGCTGTAGAACCTAGTGTGCTTCCTGGATCTTGGACTGTCCCTATGCCTAGAGTACTAAGATGACCTGTGCCTTTCCCACTTACCCCTGCTGTAGAACCTAGTGTGCTTCCTGGATCTTGGAGTGTCCCTATCCCTAGAGTACTAAGATGACCTGTGCCTTTCAGACTTACCCCTGCTGTAGAACCTAGTGTGCTTCCTGGATCTTGGAGTGTCCCTATCCCTAGAGTACTAAGATGACCTGTGCCTTTCAGACTGCCAAGGGGGGATCCTAAAGCACTGTCCTTTAGGGGACCAAGAGACTGTCAAGCAAAGCAAAAAGAGAAGAACTGACATTCAATTGCAGTTCAATTCATTAACTACATCAAATACAAAGATATAATATACAATAAAATTGTGTCTGGGAAGTCGCATTAAAAAGCTCATACTCGAGTAGTTGTCAACAGTGCGAGCACTCCTCGCAGCCTTCCTGAATAGGCTTTAACTGTGAACTGAAAAGAGACTATCATCTGCATGATGCCAAAGCATCGTTTGTCAGATTCATCCCTTTATATCAAGAAGAATTCACTACTTACGGAAGATAGGCCTTGATTCTTCTTTCCTCCATCTTTCTTCTCCTTCTTTTCCTTCTTCTTTTTCCCCTCCTTCTTTCCAGTCGACGCCCCTCCTGTGGCTTTGGGTTTATCCCTCTCCTCCTGGACCATCTTCCGGTAGAACTCATCACAAGGGTGGTCCCAGGTACTCTCACCGCTGGTGAAGTTGAAATAGTAGATGTCCCCTCCAGATGTGTCTTGACTGCAATACAAATACATTATCAAAATAAATACCAATTTCTATAATATCTTGATTAAATAACACAATTAATTTATAAGGGCCCATATTTATTGCCTAAATATTGTCCAAAAATATTGATAAAAAAGATAATGGACAAGCATTGTTTCAGGGTTGAAATCATTGCAATGTCCGGACCCCCCCCCCCCCCCCCCCCCCCCCCCCCCGTCTTGCAGCAGTCCACAATAATAATCTGAAATGGGAAAATTTGTTCAGGTTCACTTTTGATAAGCTACAAAACGGAGCTGTAATGAAAATAAGTGACCAACTATATTTGTTGGGTACATGAATGGTCATACATTTCTTTAAAAAAAAAATGAAATTACCTGTAGACAAGAAATAAAAAAAAAACTGCTTGCAAGAGCAGTAATGGAGTAATGGAGTTGACAAATTTGTGTTGGACTAATCAATTCTTTAACTTCAATATCTATTTTCAGATTTCCCAAAACTTTCATGAATCTGTTTCTCTCATTTTGTCTACTCTTCATTTCCCCTTTTAACTGGAAGCATTGATGTTGTTGTTACCATGGTTTCCAATCAGCTGGTAGTGGTGCACTGATGCCTTCCCTAGCAATCCACATCAAATGAGGTTCTGTGTCTGGGTCTATGCCTATCACTGTGGTGGCATATTCAACAATCTCTGCAATTGGAACATAAATAAATTCCATCACAATATCTGATATTTTTTTAATGATCAAAATGATGACATCTCGCTAAACAAAACAAACCTAATAGCATCTCCTTTATGTCGCCTCTCTAAAGGTAGTATAGGAAATGGATGGACTTATTATTATCATTATTATTATTATTATTGGTGACATATTACGATTAAAACAAAAAGCCTATAATCAAAAGTCAACTGACGACGATGATGATCTTGACTTACAAGCCCAAAAATGTAATTGGATCATCTTCCTATAATAATACCATCACCATGCTTGAAGCTCACACCTAAATAAGTTGCTGACATATTGTGAATAACAAGGGTAATACCTATAATTTAACAAATTGACCTCTATGACCTTTGTTCTACTTACCCTAAAATCTAACTAGGTCATCTTCTTATGCTATGATGATACAAACTACATGTATAACAATGTTTGAAGCTCATACCTCAAGTTGTTCTTGAGATATAGTGTACAAATCGTGTACAAGAATATAATTAACTTCTGTTTTTCTCCTAGATGCCTTTTTCTTTGGCCTGGGGGCACTACTCAAAATATATTATGGATAGCATATTATTCTAGGTCTCCTAAAGAGAATAGACAATCCTGAGTCATACATATTTGAAAAATTGATATTTTTGTAACTTGAATTTTAGAACAAATGGGAAAGTTGTCCACCACTACATCACAAGGACATTACTGATTCAGCCAATTTGAAGAACCCATGTACATTTTTCAAAAATTCAAAACTGTCTCTCTTTTTGTCCGATTCTCTTCAAACTTTCACCAGTCTACTTCTCTGGTTTTTCTGCTTTCCTCTAGAGTAGTTTGCTACCTAGGTTGACCTTCCCTTTAATGATTAAATTGCCTTAAAGTGTTCATCCATTACCTCTGATGAACAGATCTCATTATCATATGGATAATTGAAGTAGGATTCTAATATTCTAACCACTTTTTGAGTACCATTTTGAGAAAAACCAAAATATTACTTGTAACTCCCCGAGGTTCAGAATCAGTAAAGAAAGGTTAAGTTCTTATGTACCCTTAGACCGCTTTCCTAACATATATTCAAATTTACGGCTGTTTCTTCTTTCCTGGGGACCTAGTGACGAGTTAACCTGTTATTAATAAATAAAGTACAATACTTGGAATCCAGTCTGCATACATTACTTGTTGCCATGTCGGGCAAGCATTGGGCAAGCTTACAGATTGCCAAGATTAACCTTTCTTTAAACAATATGCGTAAATTATGAATCCGTTAGTAACTACCAGTTTATTGGATATTCAGAGCATTGATCACATTTGAGATGAATTACCTCCTTCTGTGGGGTTATAATTCTCATCATAATCCTCTTCTAGGATTAGTTGATCTCCCATCATCTTGACCACCTGCCTTTGGTCACTCCATCTACAGAAGAGAAGAAAAGGCACATGGAAAATATGTTAATTTGTAGGTGGTTTCCTTTGAAACTTCAAAAAGCATGTGATGTTTACTGACAAAAAAAGAGTATTATTTCTAGGACCCAGCTAGGAGATGAATTACCAGTAACTGAAATTAGATAATTTACATTGCTAACATGCTGGCCTATTTCATGAGTTTGATTTTTTTGGTCCCGCTGTGAAATGTAAAGACATGCAGTGTACACACAAAAAACAAATGTTTGCGCTGCCAATTTGGTACAAGTTTACTACATGACAATGATATCGATCAGTTACGTATAACGGCGATGGATAGAGTTTGCTGAATTCAGCGTGCTCCCTGCGCACAGGCATTTTTACACTACCGATAATCGCTATTATCGTAAAAGTACCAAATTGGCAACGCAAAAACATATTTTTCCTGTGTACAAACTACAACGGGTGTCTTTGCATTGCAGCCAGAACCAACAAAGCGACCGCTCGTAAGAGGGCAACGTTTTTGGAATGTAAACCACATAATAATACATCTACTATTCATCGGGAACACATAGAACTAGAAGGTAAGCAAATCGCTATCACAGCGGTATTAAAATCTCTCAATTTTGTTAAATTCTTGACCTATTTCAAAGTGCTTTGTATAAGAAGAAAGAAGAGTTCACTCGCGAGTTTCGAAGCCCGTGTGCAATGTTCATCAGGTGCGGGAAGGGGCGATTACAAAGGCATTTTAGGTTTTGTTTACCCTACCTCTTTACCCAGGGCAAGGGGTATATTCCACATGGGTGCCGATTTAAAGTTAAGGCTAGTTGATCAGTAGGGTCGCTAGTACGATAATGAGGATCGCACATAGAACTTTAGCTTACATTTAGCGCATGCTCATTACGTTCATTTTTTTATTGGCATTGCCATTGCGCTCTCTGCTGAAGCGGGCCCTCTCTCAATTAAATTCAAAGCCGCTTGAGCGGATCAACCAATGGGGAGAGCCTAAACTCACTGTGCAGCACTCAATGCGGAAAGTTCTACAGTTTGGATCGTCTGCATAAACAAGGATTTCCTTGTATACTCAGACAAAACACGTCCTAAAAAATAAGGACCATCCACAGATTTTTGTGGAACTCTTTTTTCTTAGACATTCTGCAGGTGTAGGGTTCCCCGAAAAACTGTGCGCCATCTACACGTTCGTAATGGCGTTATCACAGTTTTTCCTTCATAATCATTTTTGCCTTCGGCGTAGACTAGAAGGGATGAGATTGATTTAGATGACTCCGGCAGCAAGAGTTTAACACGGCTTGCAAGATTTTCAACATGGATGTCGATTTTGACCCATAATTTCCTTAAAAGGGACCATTAAACGGATTATTTCAATCAAGTTAGTTAGTGGAACCGATGTATTATAGCCTAGGCCTAATTTACATTTGGATATACACGAGGTAAAATGACATTTTGGGGGATTTTTGGGGCAAAACGCTACGACCTGAAATGGCCGGCCGTGGCGTTATCAAGGGAATGTGTAACTTAGATCTAGATCTATAGACGGTTTCCGTCTCTAAAGAGAGAGCCGGCCGACCCTACCCCAATAAGAGGCTAACAAACGAAAGAGACGGAAAATTCGGTCTAGAATAGGATTAGGAATAGAATTTACTAGGCCAGAAGACTAAATCTAACAGTTATTCCTAGATCTAACTTAATATCAACAAACAAAATTCAAAATCAAATTAAAAAACAAAGACAAAAAATGAAGGGAAAAAACCTTAAAAATGTAATGAAGGGGATTCAGCTATTACATTAGCGTAAGATGCATATACTGATTCACTCATATGCTTACACATCAATACAAAGCAATGACACTTGTCCAATATCGAATTTCTTCGAAATCAGATTCTGAAATGACGTTTGGCTTTGGCCGGTTGGTTAGCTAGCTAGCTCCAGTCCCACACGTTCAAAAAAAATCCAGGATTTTCGAGGGCAGACGAAGAGTTAAATTACAACAACAAACGGCACAAAATGATAGAATTCGGCATAAGACTTCATTAAATACTCATCTTTAACTGTAAACTTACCACAGAAGACCCAAAACGCAAATTCTTGATTATTTTTTTATTCGCCAGTAGAAGTCCGTGCGCGTCTGTTTACATTTTCATTTTTAAATGTTAACCTCTTCTCCAGTTTTATCTGTACGCATCAATGATCCCGGCATAATTACCGCCCTTGGCGCGGCCTCCTCGATAAACTACCTCCATCCCGCACATAAATGTGTGACCGTCCAATTCATGTACTAATTTTGGCTGCAAATTGTATAAAAGAATTAAGCTTACCCCGTTAAATCAATAGATGATAAATAAAAATAGAAAGTTACTTGAGAGTAATTATACACTTATAAGCGGATCCAGGTGGGGCCCGAATATCGGCCGCGCGGCCGTCGAAAATGAGAAAGAAATACGGGTAATTCCTCACTGAAAAACCTTTAAAAAAATGATAGTGTCCTTATAGGCTTAGGGAGATATTGTGTGTGCGTGCATGCTGGTCAAAACAGAGAGAGAATTCCAACGGATAGGGGCAGCTATTTCAATTAATTCCTATATCCCTATATATACGCGGCTATATGATATATCTTCAAGATTCTGAATTGCTAAATTAACTCGAAGACACCTCCCCCCCCCCCCCCCGCCGCCTTATACAGCCAATTAATATTTGAAATAATTACACCAGAAATACAATTTATATATTCTACATATAGCGCGCCGCATGTATAGTACCGTAGCTCCGATCATGACTGTAATGACCTATAGCTGCTCGGCCCCTCTCTCTCAATTTTCTCTCTCCCTCTCTCTATCTCTTTCTCATATCAAACTTTTAAGACTTCTTGTCACTACTTTCGCGTGTGTCATCCTTTCCCAGCTGCACTATGATCAATTATAATTGATCATTCCATTGCTACGCAATGGAGCGTATCGCAGCTGGCCAGATGCGAAGTAAGGAGCCCACTGTCCAATCATAACATTCACGATATCCGGGGCTAACGAAGAGTGGGGTGGTACGGATTTTTTTGTTTACCCCCCCCCCCCCCCCACCCCCCCCCCCCCCCCCACCCGCCCGTCCCCAAACGTTTTTGCTCATTTCGCCACTGTCGGTGTCACCATTGCGTACCAAACCCCTGAGCTTCTGGGGACTCCGCCCCGTGGACCCCACACCAATTTGTGTCCTGCCAGTACGTGTCACAAATAAGGTATCAAAATATGCTCATCTGACCGAATTTATTGCCCAAAACCCCTGAGCTTCCGGGAGTTCCGCCCCCTTGACCTCACGCCAATTCGTGACCTGCCAGTGTCACAAATAAACTATAATTTATATCTGAGTATAATGTATGAAATCCTTGGGGCTTCTCCCCGTGGACCCCAAGCCAATTAGTGACCTGCCAGTGTCACAAATAAGGTATCATTATCCCTGATAGCAGACTGACGTCTTAAAGACGTCATAAATTGGTCGTAAAGTGGTAAACACGTCGTACGTCGTATGGACGACGTAATTATGACGTCATTATGACGTCTTCAAAAGACTATTTTTTCCAAGATAATTTTTGTCGCATTGACGAAGTCATAACGACGTCATAATGACGTCTTTAAAGGACTAATTTTTTCAAGATATTTTTTGTCTTCTCGACGACGTCATAATGACGTCTTCAAAAGACTCTTTTTTCCAAGATAATTTTTGTCGTATTAACGACGTCATAAAGACGTCATTTTGACGTCTTTAAAAGACTATTTTTCCAAGCTAATTTTTGCCGTACTGACGACGTGATAACGACTTCATAATGACGTCTTTAAAGGACTAATTTTTTCAAGATATTTTTTGTCTTCTCGACGACGTCATTATGACGTCTTTAAAAGACTATTTTTTCCAAGATAATTTTTGTCGTATTAACGACGTCATAAAGACGTCATTTTGACGTCTTTAAAAGACTATTTTTTCCAAGCTAATTTTTGTCGTATCGACGACGTCATTATGACGTCTTTAAAAGACTAATTTTTCCAATGTAATGTTGTCGTATTGACGACGTGCTAACGACGTCATTATGACGACTTTAAAAGACTTATTTTTCCAATGTAATGTTGTCGTATTGACGACGTGCTAACGACGTCATTATGACGACTTTAAAAGACTTATTTTTCCAATGTAATGTTGTCGTATTGACGACGTGCTAACGACGTCATTATGACGTCTTTAAAAGACTAATTTTTTCCAATGTAATTTTTGTCGTATTGACGACGTCATTACGACGTCATTATGACCTCTTTAAAATACTATTTTTTCCAAGATACTTGTTGTCGTATCGACGACGTCATTACGACGTCTTTAAAAGACTATTTTTTCCAATATATTTTTTGTCGTATTGACGACGTCATTACGACGTCATTATGACCTCTTTTAAAGACTATTTTTCCAAGATATTTTTTGTCGTAAGGACGACGTTAAAACGACGTCATTATGACGTCTCTAATAGCCTAATCATTTCCAAGATAATAATCGGGTAAAGACTACAACATCTAATATGAGCATAAGTCAAAGTAAATAGGGCAATTATCAGAATTGAAATTAGGGAACAACTCCCCCCCCCCCCCCCCCCCCCCCCCTCAAATGTCATTAGTCATTATAGATTGTGCAACATCTTAACACGCACCAAGGTCTGCAATATCGATCAAGACTAAACATGCTCGCATCTAGTTCAAACGGGAGTGTGTACGTGTGTGTACAGATGCATAGTACTCAAGGCATGCAAGGCGTATAGGACTACATGCACTATGCGATGTGTATGTAATGTATTTGAATTCAGAGTAAAAAAGCCGTTGCATCAAGTATCATCCTCCTGAATACTCTCGTTTTCTCCTGCAAATTTACAGTATGGGTAAGTCCTAGAATTACCTAATTTATTTACAAAAAGTACATGAATCTATAGTTACTGTTTTTTGTTCTGAAAAGTTGATATGTAGACTCAATGTATGATCTTATGTCACTATAATGTCAGTGATAGTGAGCTCGGACTTTCAACACTTGGTGACAAGATTTGGAATGTATGATCCCATATATGTATTTTTATGTAGGGTCTTGATTGAAGGTATGCATGGCATGGGGCATCATTTAAAGCAAAACAGTTTACTCATTTGCCTACACATGGGCTGCATGGCTTTAAAGGGAAATCTAACTCGAATATACAACTGCTCTAAAAGACTAAAACTAAAAGAAAGCAGAAAAATAAGAGAAGCAAACTGATGAAAGCTTTGGCACTAGATCTAGGTAGACTCGTCTAGATTAGACAGCAATAACCATCTGATTTGGGTCATTTCTTTAATAAAACTGACATTTGTTGTCATTCCCCAATACAGATGGCAACCCAGAGATCTCGTACCGTGGGGGTGGCTATGTACATATTTTCGTCCACGACATTTTCTCCCCGATTTTCTTTGTTTAACTTAGATCTAATTTCCTGATTTCTAAATCAGATGTAAATTAACGCCATTACGAACGTCTAGATGGCGCACAGTTTTTCCTTCATAATCATTTTGCCTTCGGCGTAGACTAGAAAGGATGAGATTGATTTAGATGACTCCGGCAGCGAGAGTTTAACACGGCTTGCAAGATTTTCAACATGGATGTCGATTTTGACCCATAATTTCCTTAAAAGGGACCATTAAACGGATTATTTCAATCAAGTTAGTAAGTGGAACCGATGTATTATAGCCTAGGCCTAATTTACAATTGGATATGGACGAGGTAAAATGACATTTTGGGGGATTTTGGGGGCATAACCCTACGACCTGAAATGGCCGTGGCGTTATCAAGGGAATGTGTATAGACGGTTTCCGTCTCTAAAGAGAGAGTCGGCCGACCCTACCCCAATAAGAGGCTAACGAACGAAAGAGACGGAAAATTCGGTCTAGGCCTACCCCAAATCAAGCAAATATTCATGAAATGTTCAAATAATGCCGGTCATGATTTAAAAGTCGTTATGTTTCTAACCTGTTTCTGGTCAATTTTCTTATTTTGGGGGGAGTATTTTTTCGGAAAAACATTGATAGTAGTATACACTTTCTCACAGGTTGCATGGCAAACCGCTGCACAATACAAGTGCATACAGATGGAGGGTTGCGGGGGCACGTAAGTCTGCGTGAAGTGATCTACCTCCTCATTGTACGGTAGATAACTTCACACAGGCGTGCGCCCGCCCGCAACCACCATCGGTATGCACTTGTAATGTGCAGCGGTTTGCAGTGAAAGTGAAACCTGTGAGAAAGTGTACTACCGGCCCGGGCCCAGATGTCTGGAAATTGAGCATTACGTGTCGATACGTAGAGGAATAAAGCAGTGACTTGTGTCACAAACATGTAACCTTAAACAAGTCGTTTCTATAGTCTTTAGACAGCAAATTTATCTTATAGGCTACCGCGTATACAGAAATCTTTATCTGGAAATAATCGGTTAGACCTGTAAATGGTAAACAAAATTCTTTCCCCACAGGCTGTTCAAAGAAGTTTGTAGTATATGTGTTGCACATGCATACATTATCAACCATTCATTTTGTTCTTTATTCATTTTCTCATTTATTTGTAGGCATCCTTTTTTAACATCTTTCGTCAAAGAAGTGGATTCAAAGCACATTGTGGCCTCAGTATATTGATGTGAAACCATGCAGAAAATGCTACTCTCTCTCAACCTTGTGGATGTTCCCTACTTCCCTAAGGATCAGCAGCCTCTTGAAACAGTTGAAGCCATTATCGGTAAATGTGTACATGTACTTGTATTATTTCTGTACATTTATTTGTCATATTGTGCATGATCACTGAGACACTGACCAATTAGACACTACATAATGGTTCATTTCATTTGAAAGGCTTATTTCAGTTATTTGTCATGAGTTTCAAATATATTTATAATTCAATTAATTTTAGATCACTAAAACCTGCAGGTATGTTGCAATAACCGACAATATTATGTGAGTTTCAAACAGTGTTTTTTTACCCTTCAGCATAGGTCAAGGAGCTTTCATTCTACCCTCATCAGCAAACTACAGGAATGCCAGTTTTCAGGCAATAGCCTGAATTCAGGCCCTGGCGAGTTATTTTCATACCATAGTTTAGGTTTTTTGTGTACAAGCTAGCACATTCTAGGTGATTTTTCAGGCCCTCTGATCAATTCTAACTGGCATCCCTGAAACTACAATTGTATTGATAATTTACCAAACAAAATCCTGAATCACGTTTTGCATTGCCCACAAATGTTTAAAATCCAAAGGTGTGTTGACTTTATGTTTGTGAGCAATGAGAAATTATTTCTGATAAATCTTACCAAGCAGTACTTTTCTGACATAATTCATTATTTAATTCATTGTTTACGTTCCAGTTTTAAAATATATAAAAGTTTGTCTTAAATTGTATTCCTTTCTTTTTGCTTTATTTATGCACTAGAATTCCTTGCGTCTATGTTTTCTGGATCTGAAAGCAAAGCATAATGCCAGAGATTCCACCCAAAAGCTAACCCATGAGTCCAAGCTGAAGAGGAATATTTCCAAATCGATGGCTCCACTAATCCGATCGGTGAGTCATGGCCCTCATCAGCAAACTACAATTGTATTGATAATTTACCAAACGAAATCCTGAATCACGTTTTGCATTGCCCACAAATGTTTAAAATCCAAAGGTGTGTTGACTTTATGTTTGTGAGCAATAAGAAATTATTTCTGATAAATCTTACCAAGCAGTACTTTTCTGACATAATTCATTATTTAATTCATTGTTTACGTTCCAGTTTTAAAATATATAAAAGTTTGTCTCAAATTGTATTCCTTTCTTTTTGCTTTATTCATGCACTAGAATTCCTTGCGTCTATGTTCCCTGGATCTGAAAGCAGTGCATAATGCCAGAGATTCCACCCAAAAGCTAACCCATGAGTCCAAGCTGAAGAGGAATATGTCCAAAATTACATGTAGATCTACACTCACCCGATAGTTAAACTGCTAGAAAAAAGGTTTTTTTTTCACTTCATTATAATTTATAGAGAGAGATTGGGGGAGAGGTGAGGTGTAGCCACAAACCTGAATGGCTAAGCTGTGGAACTGAAATTCCCATTCATGTCACTTACAATTTTAATGAATTACAGGGTGTACGAACTGACATAATAACAGTTTGAGTAAAAGATTCCAGTATTTTGCATATATTTGTAATTACTATTTATGAGGTTGACCTGTTTCATAATGCTTAAATGTAGTAGACTTGATATGCTCAGTCTCATGCTCACCCCCACCCCCATCCGCTTCTTATCAGTTCTTAAAACCTGTTGCAAATTAAGTTGGTAATAGAGAAAAATTGAGTGAGTTAAATACACTGTTGGTCATAATGGTGGAATATTTATTTTTACCCCAGTTTAGGGAAGGATTTTTAAAAATTATTTATTTCTAATAGATCTAGATAATGGCATACATTCTCAGATTTTATTGAATGTTAATTTGCGAGTGTTTGTTTTGCGTGACTGCTAAATCATATGTGTGCTACTATGCTAATCAGCTAGGGAACCTACGTCCTTAAATCATAATTGACAGTAATGAGGATTAATGCCTCACAAAAGGGCACTAATATAGCTGTTCAGCACGATTTTTATCCTGGGGCCTCACAGTACGAGGCCATTGCTTAGCCCCTGAATCATGACTGTACGCAGTGTTTGCTAGGGTACGCGGCCGCCCCCACAAATTCCCCAAAACAAAGAAAATGCAATAAATTGTCAAAAATTCATTGCATTTTCCCCCGACCCCCTACAGGAAAAATTCCTCTGTGTGGCCATGCCTTGAACCATAATGCATGGCCCTACAGAGGAATTTTTCCTGTTGGGGGCCGGGGGGAAATGCAATGAATTTTCGACAATTTATTGCATTTTCTTCGTTTTGGGGGATTTGTGGAAGGGGCCGCGTACCTTAGCAAACACTGCGTACAGTCATGATTCAGGGGCTAAGCAATGGCCTCGTTACTGTGAGGCCCCAGGATAAAAATCGTGTCGATCAGCTATATATTAGTGCCCTTTTGTGAGGCATTAATCCTCATTACTGTCAATTATGACTTAAGGACGTAGGTCCCTTAGCTGATTAGCATAGTAGCACACATATGATTAAGCAGTCACGCAAAACAAACACTCGCGAATTAATATTCAATAAAATCTGAGAATGTATGCCATTATCTAGATCTATTAGAAATAAATAATTTTTAAAAATCCTTCCCTAAACTGGGGTAAAAATAAATATTCCACCATTATGACCAACAGTGTACAATACAAATCGATTCCATTATTAAGCAACTAAGACTTGTTCAGATACGGAACGTGAACCGCCAACAATTTTCGAAAATGATGCAGTTTGGTTTTATGTGTAAAGCGAATGGCAACAAGTCTTTGTATGTTTTGGACTGCGCATATTCAGTGAGCTCTTTTTTTAAAATAATATACAGAAATGTAAAGCATATTGAACTCTATGTCAACATTAAAAAAAACTCTGAGATTTTGTTTTGCAGCATCATATCTGAACGAGCCTTAAAGGGACTTGGTAACATTGTTCATATGAGAGAAAATGATGCTAAGGTATTGACTTCAATGCTATACTGTATGTACACTTAAAGATAATCTGAACATTTGAGTTAAAAATAGACCACTATTGATGATTAAAATTGGGAAAACTGATCTAATCCATTCCTTAATTCTCCCAACTATATTTTTATAATTTGATTAAATTGAAGTGAGTGTTAATCATCACAAAGCAACGAATTAGCTCCAATACCTTTTCCAAATTTAGGCGTTGAAAGATTTTTAAAGGCCTGTTTTATATCTTATTTTCATGGAAAAACGGTTGGGGAAAATTGAAAATTTTGTTGGGAGAATTAACTGTTATTAAAGAGTGACACACAGTAGCGCCTTCAATGAAAACCATAAAAACCTTGTGGTTTGAAAAAAAATTGGTAGTTAAAAGTATAAAATTCTTGGATTGTATCTGTGATTTTGAAAGCACAATATGGCTTACCTACATGTATATTGAATTTGCTGTTAAAATTTAAGTTAAATTTTAATTCTTTTGTGAAACTCCTGGGACTTGCCAAATGAATGTTGTGACATTAGCAATGGAATATATCTCTTTGTGCTAAACTTTTTCAGCATGTTTGCTATTTTATCTTAAACTGGGAAATATCTTCTGAATAATTATTCCACCGTCACCTTGGAATTGCCCAACTGAGCCAATCGTACTGGCGGGAATGTTATCTGATATAAATTGTATTTTATACTGGAACTTCAGCTTCTGTATTTGCAACAAAACTAATTTTTTGATATTTATAAAGATGAATGTTGCCACTAATGCCTTTTCTTATATTTAAGTCATGTGCCCGTAAGAAGCAGGTTTCTAGCACAGAGAATAGGTACAGTTGAGCTGATTTCTGCACAGTTTTCTAATATGGTGTATCGCCAAATGTGAACATCATGGTTTTGACGGGCAAGCAACCATCATCAGAAAACTCTGCAGGTATCAGTGAAGCTCTCCCTGTTCCCCTTGCTGCCAACTTGTTCCTTTTGAGTGTAAGAAATAACTTAGCTAAGCCATGTGTTTATCATTTGTGCCATTTTTCTCCTGTGTGTGATTTAGATTGTATAGTTTTATACTTTATACTGAATTCTTGCCATGAACTTAGATATTCCCCTTGTATGTAACAAGAATTGATCTTTCATGCTCAGAAATTCTTTCCAACAACCTTTTGTTTTATGTGATAGTCTTTATCTGCATTAAAGTCTTGGGGTTGTCAGGAGCGGTTTTGCAGCATGGAGACGAGGTAGAGCTGCACTGATGAATGCCTAGCTTTCCACTATGCTGTTTTGCTGAATATGAGGAACTTCCCCAGTGTGCTGTTTGCTTGTCTACTAAAATACTGCGGGTATCAGTATAGCTTTACCTAGTCTCTATGCTGCTAACCTGCTTCCCACAACCGTAAGACTTATAAGTTTAGCCAATATGTCATAGTTTCTTGTAGCACAATTTATAACGAAACAGATATCTTTGTGATGGCCTGTTAACTTTCTTAAAATAAATTATGAGACTGACAGAAATACACTAGGTATTTATACAGCATGTTTTGGAAGAAGTGTCAGGATAGTGATGAAAAGATTTTGTACCAATGGAAAACAAAGTTAGATAGAATAAGAAGGTATAGAAATACGTATTTTATATTTTTGTTATCCGTTTTCATACCATATACGTGTACATTAAAAATATGAAAATTACTTTCTGTTTGGCATGTATATATATATTATGTGATGCAATATTTGTTGCTTTGATTTTACTGTGTGATTGTTCAGAATGTGTACATGAAGTGACTTTTACACTTTCTTCCTTGATCAGGTGGTCGTATAGATGTTATTTAGAGGACAACAAAGACGTAAAGATCATGTAAGGATAAAAGGTACATCGAAATGACCAGTAAGGTGTAAATATCACGTCAAAATTTGATGTCCATACAACGTATACAGGTCTTTCTTGGGTGAAAGTTGACGTCTTAAAGACGTCTTTATTTAACCAATAAGACCTAAAAAGAAAATATGACGTCCATACAACGTCTTTATATGGTACAAGTTGACGTCTTAAAGACGTCTTTCTTTGACTAATAAGACGTTAAAATCACGACAAAATATGACGTCCATACGACGTCTTCCTATGGTACAAGTTGACGTCTTACAGACGTCTTTCTTTGACTAAAAGACGTAAATATGACGTCCATACAACGTCTTTATATGGCACAAGTTGACGTCTTAAAGACGTCTTTCTTTAACTAATAAGACGTAAAAATCACGTCAAAATATGACGTCCTCGTGACGACGTGCGCGGGTGCAAAATCAAGTCTTTTTGACGTCGTGTTATGTCGTCTTAAAGACGTCTTTCTTTAACTAAAAGACGTAAATATGACGTCCATATGACGTCTTCCTATAGTACAACTTGACGTCTTAAAGACGTCTTTCTTTGACTAATAAGACGTAAAAATCACGTCAAAATATGACGTCCTCGTGACGACGTGCGCGGGTGCAAAATCAAGTCTTTTTGACGTCGTGTTATGTCGTCTTAAAGACGTCTTTCTTTAACTAAAAGACGTAAATATGACGTCCATATGACGTCTTCCTATAGTACAAGTTGACGTCTTAAAGACGTCTTTCTTTGACTAATAAGACGTAAAAATCACGTCAAAATATGACGTCCTCGTGACGACGTGCGCGGGTGCAAAATCATGTCTTTTTGACGTCGTGTTATGTCGTCTTAAAGACGTAGTACAAGACGTAAATATGACGTGATATTTACCAGTCTCTGCTATCAGGGATGCTCATCTGACTGTAATGAAATGCCTAAAAACCCCGAGCTTCCGGGTGCTCCGCCCCCTTGACCCAATGCCAATTCGTGACCTGCCAGTGTCACAGTAGTAGTAGTAGCTGTCTGTCGCGAAGCGACAATGACCGCCTTCATTTTCACTTTACAGCTGTTCTCCATACAGCTCGCTGACCTGCAGCAGTTGTCCAAGTCTTGGTTTCAATTTGCCTCCGCTTAAGGTTCCTCTTGATCGTGTCCTTGTAGCGAAGCCGTGGACGACCAATCCCTCTTTCGCTAGCGGGTAGTTGCGAGAATAGTACTTGCTTTGGTAACCTCTCAGAGGGCATCCTGATGACATGGCCTGTCCATCGTAGGTTCTTCCTGATGAGCAGGTCCTCCATAGAAGGAAGGACTGGTTTGCTCGCTCTAGTACCTCTTTGTTGGTCACCTTGTCCTTCCAACTGATTCTCATGATTGCTCGAAGGTGTCTCATCATGAACGCGTGAAGTTTCTTTACTTGACTTGTGTAGAGAGTCCAGCTTTCCGCACCGTATAAGAGAGAGTGGATAGGACGATAGCCCTGTAGATTTTGCACTTCAAAATGCTTATTTGTGCCAGTGTCACAAATAAGGTATAAAAATATGGTCATCTGACCGTAATTATTGCCCAAAACCCCTGAGCTTCCGGGGCTCCGCCCCCTGGACCCCACACCAATTTTTGTCCTGTCAGTGTCACAAATAAGTATCAAAATATGCTCATCTGACCGTAATTAAATGCTTATACCTATTGAGGTTCTGGGGGCTCTACCCCTGAACCC